ATATTGTTTACATTTTTGCTTACCACTTTACTTGTGGTCTCAAAAGCCAAACAAATTTGAGGATATACTGTAAAAATTCGGATAGCAGTGTGTAAACAAGTATAGACTGATAAGTAATGTACATTTGCGAGTGATGTCAGGGTGACTGTCCCTGTTGACATTATGTAGCAAAAAATAAAGGATTGACAAAAATCACTATTATTATATAGGTTTACTTTATTTCCAGTCTAGAAGCAACTTAAATCTACATAAATTATTAATCAAGGTTTCATTCTCTGAATGCATATTACATAACGTGTATCAATTTATAGTTTAAGACAGGTAAGGTGCTGTAGTAAGTGCAAATTATCAAGGACAAGAATTGAAATGGAACTTCCACCCCACATGCAAGATTGGATTGTTGAGACTACTCTTTGTACTATCAAAGAGTATAGAATTGCAAGAGGTCCGACTCTCCCTATTTTGCATGCATGCAAAATAGGCTTATTCAACTGGTTCATTTTGTTGACTATCATTTTTTGTTAAGTATTATTTTCATTCGAATGGTTCATAAAATAGACTTCGTTGACTATGAAAATTGTGTTAATCACAAGCCAAAGCAACCGTGATCACACAGCGTGTATCAAGGTAACTATGCAGCCATTTTGTTTTGTTGTGTTTTACCAGTCGAATGTGGACAATGCATAGTACTACCACAAGATAGGGGACGCCCTATTAGAATTTGATTAGAGTTCGTGTCCTTTAGATGCAGGATCCTTTCGTTACTAATACCTTTTACGTTCTTTTGAAGTGCGCTCTTTAGTTCGTGGTACAGTTAACTTGCCTATTAGTCAACTGTGCTTAAGTCAAATATTTTCTAAGTCGATCTTATTTTACATTCCAAATTGTTGTGTATCCAAGTCAAAAATATTTCAATGGCATTTTGGATTCGACTTATGCAAGTTCAACAGTAGTACTTTTTGAGATAGGATTGCGTTTCAACAAAACAAAATGAGTCAGATCTCTCGACGTCCTATACTCTTTGGTACTATCATGGATACACTATATCCAATCACACAACTGCCGCCAGCAGACAGAGAACCTCAACTAGACAATCAATCCAGCAGATATGCATCACCAGAAACAAAAACATCACCAGCAAACCAACAAAGTCCCGCCCTCTCTCACACATTTTAGTAGCTACATGTAATTTTACCTGTATAAATACAATACACTAATATCTGAGTAACATTCATGTTTACAGAACACTATATATTAGTTAACCTTCCATTTAAACTTTGTCTTTCCTGTTGAAATGAAAGCGGGAAGTATACTACTGTATTAATAAAGATGTGTATTGGAGGGTTGTATATTTAGATAAATGACACCCTTCAAAATTATACTACAGTATACAATATAGGGTGATGGCTGCTTTTGATGAAACAGGCCTGGGAGTAGTTGACAAGTAGGAAGCACAATGCATAGTCTTCACATACAATATAGGAATGCAATACTATTCTCAGCCCATCCCATCTAGTGTAACGAAATAAGTACACCCCTTCTTTGCACAAATGTTAAAAATGTACATACATATTCACTGTACAACCTTCAGCGATGGAAATCATTCAAGCATTTCTCATACCATGGTATTTAAAGACAAACATATTGATAGCACATCTTTGAGAACTCTTTAAATGTCCAATAAAATACAGCTTTAGTATGATTTCTTCTAGCATGATGATACAATGGGCAAACTAATAAAACAATGGTTTCACTTTCAGTTTTTCAATAATACACTACAATAACATTATTTTAAATAAATAACTAATTTTTAATAACTTATTGAAAGATAGATAATTCTGTTAAATTATAAATTTAAGGTTTTATTAAGCTTTTGAATTTGTGGATCTCAATACATTACATGTATTACCTGTAGGCAATCTATATTACATTTAGCTGCCAGAATGCCTATTTAGTTACACAAAATTTCCAAGATTAGAGAGGGTGCTATTCAAGTTTAACCTGAAATATAGGGTTATAGTTCCTTAAATAAACACTATGTTATTATTTTTATTAACACATGACTACCTATCTGTGGCCTTTTACATTAAACTCTCTAGATAGCTGCATGCTTCCTGCTCCATAAATGACTAGCCTGGGCTGAACATCAGTCAGCATAAAAACATAAAAACATACATAAAAGAAAACATAAAAGAAATACTTGGATTTAACTTTTCAAATTCTGCAATACATTATTAATCTTGCATTATCTATACACTTTCATGATGTTTTAGGATATATACTACATTTATTATTTCAATGCATAAATTCGGGGCAAGTTGTTATACAGTAGTAGTTATAATAACGATGAAGTCCACAATATGGGCTCCAAGAATTTAAATAATAAACTGCAACAAGCATCGCACCAAAAAGCATTCACGACATAATGGTTCGTCATAGTTTTACAATAATGAAACAAACTCTGAATACTCAACATTTTGACATAAATATCCCATAATAATTCCATTCTTATAGTGAAATAACATAGGTACACAGTAACACACCCGCACATACAAACACACTGACGCTGACACATACCCACACACACATCTTGGGATACATTATTGTAGAAAATACACCTTTGTGATAAAAATACTGTATATTTACAATTTTTCATTTATATTTGCCTAAAAAAAACCCAGGATGAATCTGAGTGTGGGACACTGGTTTAGTGCCAGTGACATGGCAACAAACACAACAGTAATACTACAGTAATACTACATCAATTAAAAAACAAAAACAGAAATTATGGATAAAACAAAACAAGTTAACATTATGCCATTCATTATCATTCATTTTTCTAATCAAATTGTAATTCAATTGATGAAAATAATATTTAATATATCTCAGAATCGCTAATTGGACATCGCTGGTAACTTCAGCACTTTCGTCCAATATAGTATGACTTTTAAACATTGCAACAAATTTTCTGATTGAAAAACTGAAGAACAAAACAAGTTAATATTATGTCATTTTTTTAAACAAATTAATATAATTCAAGTGATGAAAATAAACGTTACAATAGTATAGTTTAGTAGACTTTCAACCAGTTTTGTAAAATTTCATAAAACTTAATGTAATATTAAGGTACTTTAGTTCCTCCTCCTATTCGAGACCCCTATCATTCTGAGATCACCTGATTCAAGACCACTTTTCCAATGTACCAACAAGAAGTCTTTAACACAAAGCTAACCTTTTAACCGAGTTCACAACACTCCAAATTTTCAGGTCCTAAAAATGGTCACAAAATGGAGGGCAATCTTTTATTGTTTTCTCCCATTCAAAATAGCTTTAATTATTTGTCAAGTTTGTAAGTTCAAATTCAATATAAAACTTTCATTGGAAGCAAAATACATACATTAATATATGTATAAATGTGTATTATACTATATAGTTTTTTTAATTAAACACATTTTATTCCTATATGCCATTATTCACAATCCAAACTAAAAAAATGAAAAAAATCTTTAAAAATTTTTTAATCTGCAGCGACCAAAATAAACAAAATTAACAAACTATACAAAACAGAACTAGTTCACAATTGAACCTATTTTCATGCAGAAATTAGTCAAATTAAGAATACACATTTTATCTAGACATCATATTTTTAAAGAATAAACTTATGACCTGGAAATATAATTCAATGGGTATAATATTCACTGATTATATTTTAAAGGAATGTGATATAAATGACTTATTGCAGAAAGTGACAGGCTACAGTATATAATTTCTAAGTATTATTTGAGCACAGCTTTTTTATGTTTGTTGTATATGAATGCTGCCATTTACAAAGTACACTGAATTTTACAATACAGTACAGCTCAAGAATTCAGTCTCAAGTAATTCAGTTTTCACTACCAATAAGAATTAAAATTAATTACAAAAACATTAATATAATAAACTACAACATTAACAATAAAAATAACAATAATAATATTAATAATCATAATAATGATGAGGATAATAATAGTATAATTGTTATAATATTGGTATTATCAAAATAATAATAGCAATAGGAAGAGCAACAATAAAATTAATATGAATAATTGGCAGTTAATATTCAACTACTGTATTCATAAATTTTACTGTTGCAGTAAAACATGATCAGAATTGAGCGTTAACAATGTTTAGGTATCAACATAATGGGCAGAATTCATGTGGGCTCAACCTTAACCATAAATACTTGGGACTGCAATATAATTCTTGGTACATTATTATATAAGTAAAATTTATATTTCTGTTGTATATAGTGCATCAAAGATCTTAAGCTTTGTCTACACTATCAAATTGCTGTCACATAAAATTTGATGGTACATAGAGTTGAACACGTTCATCTTTTTTCTATACAATTTGATATCTGATATGATGTCATCGTACTCATATATGGGCACATCACATTTTTTTTCACATAAAATTTGATAGTGTAGACAAAGCTTTCCAATGACAAGCTCTCCCCGATTTACGCGCAACAAATATTAGAGTCAATGTTCAGTTAAAGAAGCATAATAAAAGTAATCATTTTTTAAAGAGGGCATCCTAGTTTTGTTACCTTGGTTGTTACAGAACTTGCACGAGAAATTGCAAGATGAGCTATTGTCAGTTAATGATCTTTGATGTCAAAGTTGAAAAGAAATCACTTTTGTGAGAGGGCACCCTCACTGCGTTAATACAGAATTTGCATGCAGAATATGCGGAGAACGCTATGTTGTTATAAGATCCTTGATAGTGTATAATGAATGCCAAGGCCTCTGTGTGCTTCACCTTATATAATAAATATAATGAACATTTGTACATACAGCTTCACAGGGAACATGAAATATTAACATCTTAATACTGCTATCGATACTTAGTAGTAAAAAGACTATAGAACTGAGTTTATCATCTTAAGACTGACAGACCAATGAAGGTGCATACGAAAGAAAATTAATGAAATGTCAGTGTGCCATGTTCCTGACATCCATTTACTTCCCTGACAACCTCTCGATAAGTTCTTGTAAGGGTGCAAGTTCTTTTCGATCGATTAGATTGAATTCTTGAACAAAGAAGATGAAGTGTTTAAAAGATGTGTTTAGATGAGCCTCCTCACCAAGCCTTACAACTTCTTGGAAATGCTGATGGTAGATGTGCGCATACACTCGGAAAAGCCGTTTAAGTATTGTTTTTGCAATCGTCAGAAAATTCTTCGGAAAAGGCACTCCTGTTAAAAAATAATACAATGTCTCAAAAGTTATGTTTTTCAGTTTATTTTCTCAGCTCTATTACAGGGTAGCTTTATCTTGATTTTACTCCAATAATTGTAGATCTGTGCCATGGTAAGACACTTGTGAAGCTATACTTTAGGGATGAGAGTGTTTCCTTATATATACAGGTCTCCCTCTATTAAATGCCCCAACAATTAAAAAGAACCTCCAATTAAGGACCACCTCAATTAAAGACCACTTTTCTGCAGTCCAAGTGAATGCTTATCTTATTTCTTAATCCCTGGTCGGAATAGTGGGCCTGTATTTCTAGGATTGTTGAGCTACCATCTTTAAAGCAAGTACAGCCTTTTGATCCAAGGATTATAAAACTGCACCGCTTTAACAAAATAACTGCCTTATGAAACTACTGTATACCATAGTTGGTGAGTGTTTCCATTAAATTACTGTATAAGGAAAGTACCATCTTCCTATCCTTGGAATAATTATGGAACTGCCCCTAGTGCTTGTCTTCTAATTACAGGCTTCCTCATGCTTCTGAGCTTGAGCAACCCTTGGGTTCTGGCCTAGGGTGTCGGCTAACTTGTACACATGCCAACTCTTACATACTTTGGCGAGCTCGTACACAAATTTAGATGAACTCATACACACGATTGGTGATCTCGTACACATGACTTTTGGCGAACTGGTACCCAAATGCATTTTTGATAGGGTCAATTTTTCTTAGTTTTTCGATCGGATGACATCAGACTAGCTGCATCAATAAGGTCGTCAAAGAACAAACTGCCAGTGGGATAGGTTTGGACGGCAGAAACATGCATTCTCAAGTAAAAATGCAACAGATTTTCATTTGTAACAACCCTGGTAAAGTGGCAAATAATCCATTTTCGGTTATCTAGGGAAAAACATGTTGGTGGGGCGCGGTGAGAAAGACGGCTTTCCCCCTAAAGTATGGGAATTTTAAAAGTCTCGCACTCTACAAATTTGTCTAATTGGCATGCATTAGTGCGTACTGTAGCATTAATTTATTAACAATTATTTGTATTATCTTGGTGTTATTTTCTTTTTTACAGAAACAACACAAATGTTACTAAGTCAACTACTGTAGGTTCGAAATACATTTCTTTTTATCGTTTGTTGTGATATATTTTAAATGCAAGTTTATTATTGATTGAAATAAAGTATAAATACAGTTTTTCATTGTTTGTTTTCTTCTTATTCCCACTTACCATAAATGTTCTGAACATGTTTATAAAATTACATAAAAATAAATGAAAATATACTAAATGATGATGAATGATAATAAAGAAAATATATAGTATTTTCATATTTATATTTTCCATATAAAATTATCAATATATTTATCAGTACATGCATACATACATTTAAATGTCTCTTTTAGGCTTTTTTTTAATATTCATAAGTCCAACCATGAGCTAGGCTTATTTCATAGTTGCAACTAGAGTAAAATTTGATGAAACGTTCTCACAAATAGATTCCCATGGTAGGCCTCCTCTGGTGAAGCATACACAATATTTGTATTTTCTTGTAATTGTTTTATTTCCATTTTCAATACATACAGTATTCTGATGTTTATAAAATACACAAATAAACGGAAATATAGTAAAATATAGTTTTATAGCTTTTTTTTATAAGCTGGAAAAAATTCACGAGGCCCGATATTGCCTGTAATAGTTGCCTGGCAACTAGGCCTAAGTACAAAACAAATCGGAAAGAAACTTTTCCAACAACCAAACAGGTTCTCACAGTACTCTTAATACGCCGCTTTCAGGAATGTGGACGCATTACTGCAAAAACAGAAGTCAGATGCTGAAAAATAGCTATTTTTAGGTGCAACATGTGCGCACAATGCCAGTGAATATGTCACATGTGTTCACCTCTTCATATATATCACCATCAACTTCGGAAGTGTCTGCTATCTGCTGATTATGTTTATAAAATACACAAATAAATGGAAATATAGTAAAATATAATATTAATAAAATTTATAAAATAATACATAAAATATATAAAAAAGTGAAGGTGTACGTGTGTGTAACAGTAACTTCAAAATTCAGATATAAAAGTATATTTAATTAAAAAAACTTAAACACCGCAGCAACATAGGCCTACGCACAGGCCTTCATTATGAATAACTGTATTAAATTACAAAATTGATAAATATATGTTTGGTACACTTGACTTTTTACACTGAGAACTGGAAGAAGAAAAAGAACATTTTAAATATCTAACACCACTCTACTGTACAAAAAACATGAAATTATGTTCAAATTAATTGTAATTAAAATTTCTGAAACAATAACAATCGTAAAAAACTTAATAATCATTGCACCGCTACTGAAAAAATACAAACAGTTTTGTATAGTCAAAAAGAACAAAATCAATACTACGTCTAAAACTGGGTCTGAAACATTATCTCTAAAGAAAAACGCACTACTAATTTTTATAGCGCCCTCTCAATGGAAGGTGATCATCACGCCGCCGATGAAAGTTGAAAGTTTTAACCCTAATGACCCCTACGTGACCTTTGACCCCAAAGCAGTGAACACCCCATGTATGAGAGGTGTCACCGATTATACTGACCAGGTTTGGGTGAAATCGGCACAACCGTTTGGCACTCGTAGCATTTTGAAATATTGCCAGAAAGAAGATAACGAGAGCATCAATGATGCAGTAGCCCACTTGACAATAGCTGGCACTGTTTAAGTGTTGTCGGTGGGTGGAGGTTGTGTGGAATGTTGTTAGGCCTACGTGTATTGAGCATAAAAAAACGTTTAAAGTTATAGTAGTTGTATGCATCATCATAGACCTTTTTTGTTATGTTCACTTAACAGTTTACAGTGATATTAAAGGAAATATGGTTGTTGTAGTGGTTGTTATATATACGTTACTTTGTGAAATATTTAGTACTGTAATTATGAAGATATATTATATGTAGCGGTTTATGATTTAAGTAGACAGTCAGTGGTGGGTGAATAGAATCTGTTGCATAGAAGTATTTCACTGTGGTCCTCTAAATGAAGACATTTTCAGAAGGCGCATTATAATTACATCATGCAGCTTTTTACTGTGATTTTTTTGAAATTACAAAATATTTTTACTTTTGTATGTATTTGTATTATATCCAAACACATTAGGAAATATGTCATGTTTATATATATATATGTATATTATATATATATATATATATATATATATATATATGTGTGTGTGTGTGTGTGTATGTATGATGTACCTTGATAAAGACCTGAGGATAGGTCGAAATATTCGTTTTCTCCAATAAAGTGTTTCTAAAGTCTATACATGGTATTCGTTTCCTATATTCTTTTGTTATCGTACCGAAACACACATGGAACCTCACTATGTTGTGTATATATATATATATATATATATATAT